CTTCAGGCCGCCGAGCCCGCCGCTCTCGACGCCGAGCCCGCGGGGGAGGAGTGCAGCTGGGCCGGCCTCTTCTCCTTCCAAGACTTGCGGGCTGTGCACCAGCAGCTGTGTTCGGTGAACTCCGAGCTGGAGCCCTACCTGCCTGCTTTCCCCGAAGAGCCGTCGGGCATGTGGACGGTTCTTTTTGGAGCCCCGGAGCTATCCGAGCAGGAGATGGACGCTCTCTGCTACAAACTACAAGTTTACTTGGTCCATAGCTTGGATACCTGCGGCTGGAAGATCCTCTCGCAGGTACTCTTCACTGAGACTGACGACCCCGAAGAGTATTACGAAAGCCTGAGTGAGCTGCGACAGAAGGGGTACGAGGAGGTGCTGCAGCGGGCCCGCAGGCGAATCCAAGAGGTGAGACTACCTTATGTCCAGATATTTCCGCCTTAGTGTTACCTTTTCCTTACTCCGTGACACCTTATTTCTCTCCAGCAGTTCCCCTCTGCTTTCGCAGAATTGATTGAACCACGAGACAAAAAAACAGCACAGGAAAACCGTCTAGTTTAAAACCAAAAATAAATTTTAAAAGCTGTGAAAATCTAAGTAAGAAAACCGAGACTTAACCTTTCCAAGGTTTCTAGGGCCAGGATTTTAGAAGGTGCAGATTTCCCTAGCCATGTAAGTACTCAGTACTTCTGTGCAATCGAACAAAGATTTTCTTGTTGGTAAGCAAGGATCTGGTGGATTTGGCAAGGTCTTGCTCCCAGAATTTTTGTCCTTGCGTTGCTTTGTTCCAGGATATGTTGGAGGCTGAACTTACCTGTTTAATAGGAGCAGCAACATGTGGTGTTTATTTTGACAGTATAATTCGGGCAGTTGAGGCCAAGAAGTTTTAGGTTCCCATAGGCTCTGGGTACTGAATGTGGTATTTCAAGTGAGATTATTTTTTCCAGTGGAACTGGAGTAACTACAGCTTTGTTCAGCTAGTAAGTTCTTAGAGTTGGGTTTTCAAAAAGCAGGCTGTCTGGTCATGGTGAGTACTTACTGTGTTGCTAGTGCCTGGCAAGTTTTGAACTTTCAAAATGCTCCCATCTGTCTTTCTCATACCACACTGTTTAGACAGAAGTAGTTGAGAAGGTTCTACTAACTTCTGTCGTCAGCGTGTAACAATTTTTTCACATCTTTGTGGACTGACATGTAAGAGGATCCAGACTTTTCCAGTAAAAAGGAGAATTTTACACTTACATTTGTGTTTCGGGGGCCCTGATCTGGAGTATACCAGGTTCTATCTGGATGAGGCTGTGTATGAATTAGGTTATGGATTATTTTTTTTTAATAGTAAATTCTATTGTATGGATATGGGTCGAGTTTGGCTGCTTCAGTTGTCTGTATATGTCCTACCAATGTTGTGTGTTCAAATATGTGCTGTGATGAATGTTTGTTCCTTGATGAAGTGTGACCCTATCTCCTTGCTTGCAGTTTTGATGGCATAGTTTTGAGTCTTTTCTGGAGTTGTTTTGAGACTTCTGGATCTTCCAGGATTCAGGTCTGGCTTTTCCCTTAGTGAGTGGAGTTAGTGTGAGGAAATAGTTTAATCAATGGTGGAATTATGATAAAAGGCATGTAAGTATGGCATTGTTGGGTAAAAATTTGTTTCGAAACTGTTGTGTTAGCAAATATCATTGCAATTTTTCTTTTTTTTTTCCCTTTTTTTTTTCTTTTTAATGGTTATTTAAAAGGCTGAATTCATTCTCGTTAATTCTGGTATACAGCTGGTAATTAGACTAATAGTTTTTTGTAGTAGTTTTAGTCTGACATATATGAAAGCATATTGTTTTGCACTTTGCTCTGCGTGAGTGCTTGGGCGTGTTGTGCGTAGATTCATTTAGTCTTCAACTCAGCAGTTTTTATAAGGAGGTGAGCAGGACAAGAGAGGTTCATGTTAAATGTGTGGAGTTTGGGAACTGGGTATCTAACTCAAAGTATGTGATATTTTTGAGGAAATGCTAATTTGGAATTACTGTGCAAGAATAATTTGTTTCTTGGAGAATCTCAACTTCCGTGTTGTTAGCTCCAGCACTGTTGGCAAAAAAGAAATCAGTTAGCAGTAAAGCAATGCAAGCTTGATCTGGCAGGATCTCTTAACCTACAACATCTTAATCTCTGTTGATGTTCAGAACTTGGTGCATACCAAATGGCAGAGCCTGTGTGTGTACAGTACAACCTTTCTTTCCCATCGTAACAATCCAGTAGTGTACCTAAGGTCACTACAGCTGTGCTTCTGTCACTTTTAGTTGTGTAAATTGATCCTTCTTTAACTTTTGACTCTCAGGTTTCTCTTTTCCTTACCTGAATCAAACTATGATAGTTGGTGCACAGGAAATGTCCTTCTTTTTAAGCAAATACTGGAACTGTTTATAATAGCATTTCTAAGCAAATGGAGCAGTGGATGATGGGTACTGCTAGGTATTACTGAGGTAAAGGTTTTTCTCACTTCCAAGAGAACCTACTGAATCAGTGTTTCATCTCTCACTTCAGTTTACTTTTCCATCTGTGCTTAAAGTCTGCTGGTTAGCTGATGGCAGGACTGTCGGATTCCTGTAATTTGGAATTATTTTACCTCTTAGAAGAACTTTTTGAGAAGAGAGGGGAGCGTTTGAGCAATGTTGGCAACACAAAAGTTATCAAGGACCATAGTGAATGTGAAAGGTCTTCATTAATGTAAAAATATAATACTCCCAAGATCTTGGTGTAACATTTTAAAGCAATGCCTCTGAGGTTTATAATTATTTCATGTGTCTCATTTTTTCGGGCATTCAGGATGAATGTCTCCGTACAGTTAGATACTACTTGAGAAATGCTTGCAGTTTTTGTTGGTTATGTTCTTTGGGGTGGAGAAGCAAAGTGAGCAACAAAACCTCTCATGTTTGTTCTTTCAGCATCCCCTACTTGGCCATCTGTTACTTTCTATTAGTTACACACAAGCCAGTTTATTTTCACAGCAGTTAATAATTGTTGCTTTTTGTAATAGCCATTTTTATCTCTGTCTCAATTATAAACCTTTAATAAGGCAGAAGAATGTTGCAAGTAGAAACAGATGCAAGATGAGGAGGAAAAATACTGTATGACCCGAAATTAATTTCTTCTGCATAATGTGCAGTTTTGAAATAGCTTGCTTATTTATTTGTTTTCCCCCTGAATAAAACTATTCATTCTGGAATACCTTAGGAATCTAATTTCTGTTAATTTATGTTAAAGTAAAAACTTGTCTCTAAAGGAATAAATAGTGTTCTATCTCCTTTTTGGAGATTAATAAATACTTGTTTGGAACCCTTGTTCATTAAGTTGTACTAGGGTGCTCAGCTGGAGGTCAGCTTCCAGAAGGAGACATGATACAGAACAACTTAACAATCAGATAAAAAGGTGTTATTATTTCAACAGAGAATGGCACTGAATCCTTATTTTGGATTCCAGCTTCTTGACCAATATTTCCAAAATCTTAAGCTTTGCATCTAAAAGGCAGAAAAAATCCTCTATTCTTGCTCCTGCCATTTTTCTGTGTTCCTCCCCATGTATCATGGGACGAGTTCTTCTAAGCTAAGTGTACATGCTCATGAATTTTTCTGAGTATAGAATTATCAAGATGGTGTCATACATCTTTGTAAATGCTGTATTAGCAAAAGGTTGAACCTAGTCAGATGTATAAAAAGTGGTGTTAGTATAAACTATGATTAAAAAGGGTTTGGTGGCTTAGTCACACCAACAAACATGTTCTGTTTTATGCTTATCCTTTTACTTGCCCTTGCCCAGCAAATTGTGAATTTGGGAATACTATCTGTACATTACATTCATACTTAAGCACATTTGAATTAATGGTGCCTGTGAATCTCTCGATTCCTTATGGCTTTTAATTGCCATGGCAGTTTGAAATTTGGTGGATGATAGCCTATAGGATCTTGAATTTGCTTTTGTTTTATTGTTACTTTGTAAAATCTATTAATTACAGTATCCCCAGGAAGACCATTGAAGACTATTTTGCATCTCTGTTCCGCATGTGTACATCTGAATTGCTTTAATAGAAAAGTTCAGAAACACTTTTTAGTAATTATTAAATTCTGAAGAAATTCTGAGAGCATTTTATTTTCTATGGCTTACCTAAGACTGCCTTGGGAGTGGCGAGCTACTGATATATTTTATCTCTTTCCCCTGTATAGTGGAATATTTTACTAAGAACTGAAATAGCCCTAGGAACTTGTATTTTATCCCAGTTGGTTTAATTTTCTTCAGATTCAGGAGGCCAGACAGATTAAGGAAAATTAACAAAATCTTTAATCTATTTTGTTACAGTAAGAAGTTGTGTTAGAAGAAAATGTAGGTTTTGGACAGAAATTTGTATTGTCATTTTATTTACTTTTAAAAACAGTATGTGTACAATTTTAAAAAGTACTTGCACAGGTTTAGTGTGGATGTTACCTTTGTTTTCAGTTAATGAAATATGATTGTGAAGTCACACAAATCTGTAAGTAAGTGTTTTTGGTTATAAATGTGTTGCTTTTCAAGGGTGCTGTCACAAACTTTTGTTTACCTTAAAAAACTTAATATCCATAGGCTGTTCTTTTGTTGATCCTGTTCTAATATTTTAGAGAAAATTAGTATTTGGGATCATCTCGGTAACTAGAATAATTTTATTTCCTTGCTTTTGTCTGTGTGCATTAATTTCTAAAGTGAATGTGTATGTGGTAGGTACCTTGATCTACTGCTAGACGCGATGTGATTTAGAAGAGAGATTTCAATGTAATGTTAATAAATAATGCAAAAATAAATATTATTAAACACTACTAAAACATTTTCAGTGTTTCAGTAATACAAAACATAAATGCCAACAGTACCGTTAACGTCAAAACCATTGTAGTAGCCTTCTGTGCAAGAAGAAAACTTGGATTCTGTATGTTAACTGCAATAGTTAGATTTAGACGGTACACAAGGTGTCTCGGGAAACACTGGTACAGTTTTAACTTTGGGAGCAGACAGGATTAAAATAAGATATACTGTGGATTTTTTTCCCTATTGAGAACAGAGTTAAGACTAATGCTAAGTATTCTGGAAATCCAACCTATTTGTGTTTGAAAGGTTTCTTTTCACATACTCATTATTTGTGGTGTTAACACTAGTTTCCAGTAAAACTGTTGTGATTCACTTCTAAGTACTTTCTAAATAGGCTGTTTAAATAATGTGTCAGTGCTGTAGGTTAGTACTAACCAAATAATGTCAGCGGCTGAAGAGCATGGTCTATATCGAGTTCTTTGAAGACACATAATAGACAGACGCTCTGGTTGCTACTTGTGTTGCTATCCAGTCAAAGATATTTTCTTGCTTTTAAGCCATCATCTTTTATTTATCTAAATTGCGGCGGG